GGAGAATCGTTTTTATAGGGTAGGCATGGTGAAGGCAGAATCAAAATAGAAAACTACTAAATGACTTAGTCTTGCCTCATTCTTCCTTTATGGAGAGAGGGCAAGAGCCCATACTTGGAGCACGAATTCATACGTAAGATGCCCAGTTGGATCACTAATTCATAGATGGACAACCTCTAGAAAGGATATCCCTCGAAAGGAGAATAAATACCATTATAGCTAGGCTCTGTTCTCTTGAATAGGTAGGCTCAGAACACTAAGGAAGCTTGGTCTGCTTAGGGCTCATAGGAGGTAGGACAGATAATAGAATTTCGCCGGCGAGATGAATCTGGGAAATCCTGACGGGCTAGAGGGTGGGCTTTAGAACAGTTTACTGAGACTCCATTATACTAAAATAGAAAGAGGTTGGTTCTTGGACAAGGTCCTATGCTAGGCTTAGACCTGAGCTAGACCCCTACCCCTAACTTATTTCGGAATGATTTAGAGAGTTGTGAATCAGGCTTTCAGAGTGGTGGCAAGCAGGGCAAGAAGATAAAGTTTAATCTGACCCTAAGCAGATTTTTGACATCTTTCTCGCATCCGCTTTCAGGTTTGACATGACATTAGAGCTCTCGTACTTGGTGACGAGTTTGAGCCTTAGAAGCATGTGAAGGAATAAGGTTTAAAATAAGTCTTGTATGAGTCCTTTAATTGAGTCCCTCTTCTTTAATAGGTTCTTTCAAGTAGCAAGTTTTGATTATCCTTTTACGATTACGATTCCAATATTAAATATCTCCGCCTCCCCATTCCTTTATCAAAGTGTAGTACTTATGGGCACAAGTCAATCTCTTCAAGTGGAAGCAATCATAGGGGGTTCGGGTCTGAGGTAAGCCTTCCTCTATCATTAGTAGGCAAAAAAGGGGTAAGCGAACCTGGTTGTCTTTGTTAATAAGAAAATGGGTAAGTAAGCGCAAACAGTACAAATCTCTTTCTGTATTCAAGCCTACTCCTGGTCGCTCGGACTCTTGTTGTAGTGTGAGCCTTGAAAGTACCCGAAGTTAGGCAATCAGCATGAATTCCTTTAAATGGATCCCTCATTGTTAATGACTCTTCTTAGGGAGTAGGATCTGTTACCTAGGAGCTCAAAGAAAGATAGCGAAGAAATATTTTATTTTGAAAGCAAAGAGGAGTGTGGCAGTCGTGCAAGAAAGAGAAGTCGAATATATTAGATGAGCTTGTTGCACTCCGATCCATTCCCTTAATATAATAGGCTGCCTACGTCAATTTCTTTGTAGCAAGAAGCCCTGTGAACCCCCTCTCATAGGTGACTGGGAAGGGAAAATGATAGAAAAAAAGCCCTTATTATTATTAAACGTAGTTGTCTTTAAAATGCAAGTGAAATATCGACTTTCATTCAACTTTAGAAAGCTATAGTAAAGTAGCAAAGTTTAGAGGAGCAACAGGCAAGCAAGAAGTTCATCCATTGAAGTTGAAGTAGTTTCAGTACTTCATCGATTTTAGTTGAAATAAACAATTGATCTCTATCGTATCAAGCATGAATCGATCTTTTTTATTCAATCTAGATCCCCTTGCAATTGATCTGTGCGATATCGAGTATGCTAACGCAAATCTCGAACGGTCGTAATCAAATCTCTCAATCATTTTCCTTTTCTCATGTCGTTAACTCTCAAAAGTCTTGCAACGCTATCAAATGGTCTAACTGTCGGAAACTTTTGTAATCGTTCCAACCGGTCAGTCCGATCTGGCTTTCCTGCCTCTCTCTTCTCTATTCGTCTAGTATCATACTCTTATTCAGACTATTATTTTTATTCATTCAATGAAACTTTAATTTTCTTTTCTAAGGTATATTTCAATATACAGATCACTAAAGACGAGTGGATATTCAGTCTCAGTGGCAGAAAACCAATACTGTTTGGAACTTCACTTCTAGAGCTCCATCTCCCAGAATCAAAACCTTCTTGTTCTAAAGGCATGGCTCTCTCACATCTTATTCTACTACTTTGTAGAGGAAGTCAGTCATGAATCTCGGTATAACTTTGTTACCTTAGCCTGGAAAAAAGCCTAGGAAACTAGGCCTCTTTCTGTCCCGATATTAAGCCAAGCCCGACACCACTGATTGTGTTACGGATTCAGTTTCGCAAGAACAATCAAATAGTTCGTAACTCTAATTGCATAACATGATCGGCTGTTAGGACAATGGGGACGATAGAGAGTCCTCTAGCCCGGACCCGTCCTTACATCCTTGTATTCTGATTGTTCTTACCTTGCTAGCGAATCTAAAATCTTTCATTCTGTGGTTAGGAATCTTTCTCTGTTGCCTCTTTGTTTCATAAGGATCGAAGCTTTCCTGGCCCCGGGCTGTCTTAGGCATTTTAGCTATATGCTTTTATTCCTCTTCTAGTAGCTAGTATCGAAATTTAGTATCATATCATTTCCAAAGAAAGAGAGTTTGCTAAAATAGATTTTCTTCTAGGGATAGAGCACTCTGTAAGAAGGTGTTGTGCCCTCCATACTGAGCTAAGATCCACACTATAAATTAGTTGTAGTACCTATAATAAGAGAAGAGGGAAATTAGATCGATCAGTTCTTCTTGCTTTACTCTTGCTAGGCGGAAAGAGAAGAAAGACTATTGTGAATTTGACTTCCTTACTGTTCTCTTAGTGGAATACGTATTAACACTTCTTACTTCCATACACTCAAAATGCTTACTTGCTTTTAGCTTTATAAAGGATAGGATAGATCATAATGTACACTATTATTTCGAGTCGGAGAGCCTTTCCTCTTTTACTTCACATAGCTTTTCACTCCTTTCTCTCATAGCGGAATAGTAGGTTTTATTACCTACAAACTAAAATACCCGCATTAGCTATCCCTGAAAGGAGAAGGAAGGCTGGAATGCCAATAGGCGTCTATTATTGAATTCACCCGACCCCTGACTCATTGTACTTGTTACTGCTATAGCTAGTATTGTATTGGTGTATTGCTAGTGAACTTACAGAGTGAGCTATAAAGGTAGAAAATAACAGATCAATCAAGAGATAGTAGTACTATAGTTCTTAATTTGTCCATGTGGGAAAGCAAGTACTCCTAATCGGCTGTTGCAATCTACTATCCAAGGAAGGGCGGCTAATAAGCAAGTTGACTCAGGTAGGGAGAGAGTCTATTGAGCATAAGGTTTGGCTTTGATAAAGTAAGATCCTCACAATCCGGCATTCATAAGGGTAGAAGATAGGTAAGCAAGAAATCTCTGTATCTCCATCGAAAGAATCTACTTCAAGCATTGCCTTAAAAGCTTCAATCTCTTCCTTTGAAATGAAACTAGAGTTCGAGTACCTGTTGCTTCAACCTCAACCCCTGGTGCAAGTGACGATTTCCCTTTCTCACGACGCCGTGCGCCTTGTTTTTAAGGTGATTCCCTTCACAGGCACCCGTCTTGAATGTGTTAAGCACGGGGTAGAATGTGTTAAGCATAAAATACCCGATTCGATGTTTCCAGAAAGAAGGGCTCCCAGAGGGTAAGTTCTAATGGGGTTCCAAGATCTCCTTACCAGCTATAAACCAGAGATTTTCACACCCTTTCACAGTTCTGATTACCGGGAGTTGAAGAGAAAGAAAAGGTCTTCCCCTTAGACCTTTAGACCTGACCAAGAGAAGTAAGGCCGGTAGCCAATAACTCAAAAAGAAAGGTCCCTTGAGCTTTCTTAGTAGTTAGACGAGTGCTCAGATCAAGACCGAAAGACATATGGATTGTCTGGCCCGGACCAAAAAGAAAGAGCACTAGCAGGACTCCCTGCACCCGCATGAGAGATTACTTTGAATCCATACCGAAGAGAATGGACGACTTGAAAAGGTCTCCAAAGATCAAAAGAGAGAAAAGACATTAGGAGCATTCATTCCTTGTACCCGGGGAACTGATTCATAAGAAAGGGGATCTACACCAGAAAAGGAGTTTACGGTCGGTTCCCATATAGACACTTTAACTTACATTGCTTTAGGCAGTACTCTTCTTACTAAAGAAGAAGACTTACTGAAAGAGGGAGCAAATCCGTCACTAGACGAGGAAGAAAGGGCAAGTAAGATCTGTACAAGATAGAAAGTAGATTAGAAAGCGTTAACAAGACTATCAGACCAAGAACAGAACTGCGGGAGGAACAACTACCTAAGGCTTAAAATGACATAGAATAAGTGAAATCTCATGCAAACCGTGAGGGAGGTGGTTAACCGGTGCTTAGAGAACTACATGGGATACTTTACAAGATATATTCCAAAGGAATGGGAACATTGGTTACCATGGGCAGAATAGTGGTACAATACCACTTATAATTCGGAAACCAAACAAAGAGTGTTTGAAGTGGTATATAGGTGCCAACCACCTCTAATTAGGTCCTATACTCATTAGTCCGACAAAGTGCATCAAGTTGATTGCGACTTACGCTAGGGATTGTGTTTGCAACTTTGAAAGAAGCTCACTATCAGGAAAGACGGGTATAAGCAATTAGCTATAAGCTAACATTTTTCAGAAAACTAGAACCATACCGCTTTGAACAGAGTCTCCCTCTTTGACTAGTGCTACCTCCGGTGAAAGGAATGAAGATCTTGCATAAGGGAAACCGACTGGCGTATACAAACTAAGAAAATAAGCAACTAAAAAATCGAGTGGGTTGACGAATCGTTGCTTTACACAAATAGCTAATATTACTTGAGTTGTAAGAAAAAAAAAGGCTAACCATGCTTTTTATTCTTCTTCTTCTTCTTACCGGAGTTAATATGCTTTTTCTTTTTCTTATTCTTCTTCGGTGGATGGATGAATAGAATAGGTGAAAAGTGACTCTGCCCCTGGCTTTGAATAGTAGGTTTATTAGGGGCATCTGGACTTGCTTATCTTTGATGATACTATCGGAAGGTAAACTAGAAATTAGCGACTTTAAATTAACCTCTTCCCGAAGAGAGTGAAGATCATATTCTAGTATCTTATTTTTATATTCAAGTACTCTTTTATCTTATCTTGCGTAGTCTTTCACATTCACCGGGTTTGTATCAACCCAATCTTGATTATTATCATACACTGGTTCCCTCTTGGTATTAGTTGGGGTACTTAACTTCACTAATTTGGTCTTTTTCATGATGTCCAGTGTTGCCCAATTTATTTGAAAATTAGAATCAACAGGGGCCACTATACTCAGTTTTAAATCAGCGTATTGTGTTTCATACCACTTATCACTGACCAATGGTTTAGCTAACCCCTTATGTTTAGTTAAGTTCTGGTTTTTATCAATCCAAAGAGAATAACCCTTTGGTGCTAAAAAGATAGCTTTATTTAATTTGTGCTCCAGCTTAAACTTCCCTAATTCAGTGGGTGAGACATCATCGTCAGGAAGAGGACTCCCATGGACAACTGAGTCTGTATCCGTGTAGTAACAATCTTCTCTTGAAATGTAATGATACATATGGATACGAGTGCATGTTGTGATAGCCGCCCATATATGAACTGTTGTTATCCTTGGCGGCCTCCACTGCATGTCTGGAACCCATTCTGTATTATTCTTATAGACAACGATGTAGTATTCATCACTAAGCTTCTCAGCATAGTGGAATCCTGTTGTCATAACTAATTTATTATATTTATCATAATTGTAGACCTCTGTCTGCGTGGATTCAGGGTTAATACCAAATCTACCGTATAGTGAATTCATAAGGATCTTGTACACATAGGCCATGGAATCATTACCTTCTTTCCTTGCTTTTAACCGGCTCTCAAAGAGGGAGCCAACAAACTCCCCGAAAGGGCTACCGGGATTCATATTTTGAAACATGTAGCTCGAAAGAGGGATTACCTTGTAGCCTACGCTTCTAGCATATTTTAACTCTTCACTGTAATAAACATCGACAAATTCACCTGTAGGGAAGATTAGTGTTTTAGATTTAGTATCCTTATAGGGTAAGAAAGGTCATGTTATATGTGGAGGGCACTCTATATAAGCCTCAAAAAATCCAAACAAGCTATCTAATTCCACGCTCTCCAAATTGCCCCGCCAGAGAGGCTCACCCCCAGGCATTGGGTAGTTTTTCATAATATATGGATATAATGAGTTTACATCATAGTAATATAGATTATAACCTTTATATATATGTATCGGTATGGCCCCCACAGTATCCACGATGAATGAATGTATCTTCATTCCGATTGGGCATATAGATAGGCCAGTTTTCTTGATCGTAATAGCAAGAGAAACAAATATCTAGAGCTAATACTGAAAAGGTCCTTTTTTCGCGATATCAACTCTATACAGAGAATAATAGATAGCTTGAGCAGTATGCATAACACCACCTAATAAAAGGATATCCCGTTTCATATACTCCAATAATTCTTCCCGTATCTGGATAAGATTCGACTCTTGCACTTTATCATATTGTATACATACTTTAGCCCAAATTGGGGACAGAGATTTTTAGCTAAGCTATTGAGATTACTCGGGAGAAGCATGAGCGAATCCCTTAGATGAAATAGCATTTTCTTATCTCGATAGACAACTAACTCATATAGCATGTTGTTCCTCATAAGAGGTTTAAAGGTGTGTTTAGTATCATGAATAGCGAAATATTTCAAAAATAGAATACCATCAAATCGCGATAATTTGTGGAAGTAGACAGTATGAATTGATCGAATTTTGCGAACTACGACTGCTAACCGCTCTAGAAAGTCGGACAACATCTTATTACTCCTTTTATGGATAGTTTCAAATAGATACATTGGATTGTCTTCACTGAAATATGTTTCAATACTACCGCCCATCTCTTATGACAGAGCATCGCCCGGTTCAACCACTAAAACACCCGCAGCATATGGCACATGGATATCGTTTATCAGAACTGTCTCAGTATCGGCAACAATGAAAGGCTTCCTTTCCTGTAAAGTTGATTTGACTCTTGTGATATGCTTAGGGTACTGACGTTTACGATATTCGATCTTCCTCACATCTATACGTTCCTCCGCAACCTCAATTTTCAAGCATTCCGCGAGTAGGCTAGCTATCAGCTCTTCGGTGAAATTCCTCGGTGCACTAGAGCTCGGTATTGTACCTTAACCTCAGTACACTTCACACCCACCCAATCGTGAAAAATTGACGATTCACTAAAAACTTCTCTTTTTGTTCTGACGTTGTCAACATCCCAAAATAAATTCCTTTGTTAGTGATTCGGCTTTCTATCTTAAAAAAGATAACGAAATTTTGAAGAAGCTCTTTTAAGAATATTTCCCGCACTTCTTCAGTAAATTTTTCTACTTTATTATGCTGATTCCTCTCTCAATATATTTTATGTTAGAAGGAAGGCAAAAGCTGACTAGTACTTTGTTTAGGGACGGGAGCCACTCCTTCTTTTTCGATTTTGCCTAAGAGCTCCTGTCTTAAAAGATAAATACGAATTAGTAGGTCTGCCCCCTATAACTCTTTTTGAATAGACATATGAGATAGGATCAAGCTGAGCACAAAACAGATCGGGGCTGCTAATAGGGAGGACTGTTAAGCCTTCTAGCATAGGTGATGCCTTCCCAAGGTTTGGTCTCTTCGATACAGGTACGGACTTTGAGAAGACGGCCTTTTTCTTTGACTGTGTGGAATAAGAGCGGGTGCCTTTCATTTATCAAGACTAGATAAACCAAAGCAGTCTACGATTGCCGGGTTTTTTAGGAATGGAATTTATAGGAAGATTAGCGGAACAACTAGGAATTAGTACTACATCGACTGCTATGTGCTAAAGAATACGGAATACGAGCTCTTAGTCCTTTTAGCACGGCATAAAATAAAGGTTGTTCTTGTTGCAGGTTTATCAAAGCTTGAGAATCTAGCTAGGTCTATTTGAACTAATAAGGAAAGGTAGGCATGCTAAGTACATTTTAATGGTATTGAATCTGAAGATAGCCTATCTAAGAAAAGAAGAAATAGCAAGAGCTTGAGAAGAAAAGAAGTTGTTAGGGAATGCGCTCTGACTGATATCATTCAGGCAATTGCATTCTTACTATCATATGAAGAAGGAAAGGATAAAAGATCCCACGAACAGGGTTAGCGTAAGAAGAGCTTTTGCAAGAAGGGCGTCGTTCTCAGATGGGCAGATGGAGGTATTAGAAAGAATTAAAACTTGTCGTCAAAAAAAAGGCAATCAATCAGAATCAAGAAAAAATATGGAAATAATGAATCAAGATCTAGATAGATCCCTATCTTTATCTCTATCCACGGAGATACCTATCTATATGGAGAGAGATCTATCTATGAATCGGCCTAGACTATCCTCTATCCGGATAGATATGTCTCTATGAGCGACTACGTCGATCTTTATATGTTTTGGCCATGTCCCTTTCCTCTCCGAAGAAGAAGGTTTGGACCTTTCAATCTTATGTCGTGAGGTATGTGATCTACGTTAGGTCCATAAGATACCACAGCTTTTGGTGTTCTATGATTCACCTACGAATAATGAGTAGGTAGTGCGATCCTTTTTATTTTGATCTTTTTAGTAAACTGATGGGGGGATGCGAAGCAATAGGTCGAATTACTATATAAATAAGAGTTATAAACTATAGGACTTCTTGTTCGAGTAGGAATATTTTGGTTTTTATCGTTCCTTCTCTTCGATAAAAATAGGGATTTGAAATGATACAAATTCCTCTTCATTCTGTTGTGCTCAGCGAAAGAACTGCCTAAGCACTCTTTTTCGGATCCAAACTTCTTTGTTCTTTATACGTCTTCTTCTTGCATAGAAGAACGCAACTGCTGTAAAAACCAGGATTTTAGTACTAGGCGGCATCCCCTCTTAGTTTTGAGTAGGCGAAACCATTCTGTTTTGGTTCTTCTCCACGGATGATTTTCCTATTATTTAGGCGGTTTCCCCTTCAAGCCGTCAATAAAATCGAGCTAATATGTGATCATGACAGTACATTGATGCATAGGTCTTCTTTACTTTATGGACTTTTGATTATGATGCATCATGAACGTGCCAATATGTGATCGAGGTGAGCGGTGGTTAGATATAGGGGCGGCTTTGCCGGCTTGGATTGGAAGGAAGGTCTTCGCTTTACGATCACTTTTTGAGGCCGGTTTCAATAAGCGTGGGCAAGTTCGGGATTCACTATCGCTTTTCGCTTGGAGTGGCTTACCCCCTTTTCACTTAAAGGGCGAAGTCGTTGAAGTGAGTCTAAAGGCCAAAGAGTCATCTTTGAAGGCTACTATGCATCCTTATTCATAGTAGAGTGTAAGGTAGGTTTAGGTATAGCAGGACTTGAACCTGTGACCATTAGGGTAAAAGCCCAATGCTCTACCAACTAATCTATACACCCCAAAAATGATATAGTAGTATATAAGGATTGGTATGGAAAAGAGGTCAGCCCCCCTTCTTCTCATCATATTAAAGGAGCGCGGCTCTGTATGAGGCTCGTGCTGCAGAGCAAGCGGAAGAAAACATAAGGTCGCGCGTTAGCACTCCTGTAAGAAAACGGATGCGCTAAGGCGCAACTTCGTGCAGCTGCTACGCCCTTGCTTCTTGCCCCTTATTTCAAACTCAAGGAAAGCCTTGATCGATATGAGAAAGATGCGCTCAAGCGCCCAACCTAGTAAATTGGATTGGGCTCGAAAGCCGGCCTTAATCAACATGCACCTTTCTTAGTAAGGTTGCTTGTTTCCACTCATTGATGATTCTATCTACAAAAGAAGGTCAACAGGGGATACTCAAATAGCTCTCACTGACACCAGAGAAGGTGAGATCGTCTTTCTTTCCAACCGCCATACGGTTCGCCTTAAAGCCTTAAGGATCAGGGGAGGAGCAGTTATCTAAGTAATTACATTGTTGGTCGTTGTTCCGGTCCAGCACTCTCTTTTCTTTGTCTAATTCCATCTTACCAAACAAGACTGACTAAACCAACCCATGAAGGGTTGTGAGGCTGGACCAGGTACGAAGAATGAATCTATATCTGTGCACGGAAGTTGCTGGCCGGCGGCTGCTCAACTGTTCGAGCACAATGCAGTGGTGTTGGTTTCGATTCGACAAAGGTAGAATGCCTGGTCGAAGGTGCAGTACAGTAGGTAGCAGACGTGTTCGTTTTGGCTCCCGAGCAAGAATGATAAATAGGCGATGCACCATCCTTGCTGCTACGTACATTTTCCTTGACTTGACAGATTCGTTCAATTGAACCCACACTCAAAGGAGGACCACAAGCTCAGGGCTCGACGAAACGGAAAGTTTCAACATGTTGAAACTTCTTGGTGTTAGCAATGAAAGAAAGAGCCCGGCATTCATTTCTACATGAATATTCATAGCTGAGTCTACTAAAAGAGGGACCAGTCTCGTCGTGGGGCAAACAAGCATATTCTATTACAAGGTTTTAATACTAGTTATATGCCAGTGCCTCTACCGATTAAAACATTCTAGATGTGGCTTCATCAGCGGTGCCACAAGAAGAAGGTAACCATGCAAACCAAATGACGAGGAGCAACAAAAAGAAATAAATAAAGACCTAGAGGGCCTAGAGCAAGGTCAAGAAGTTAGCTCATTAGACAGATGGCTACCCAGGGAGCTGGTAGCAGATCTGTACTTAGCTCTTACTAAGCAGCCTCTAACCTAAATGAGTTCAGTTGCCTGGGTTAGTTCCTTAAGGATAGTGGGGACCGAATCAACTGGGTCACCGGTAAAGAACCTCTACTTAAGAAAAAATCATAAGAGAAGAAAGTTGCTAGAAGAGGGTGGAGAAGTGCCACACCTTCGTGGATTGATCGAGCGTAGCGTACTGATTCTTATCGAGATTGGGTTGGTGTTCAGTGTGGGCAGTCTCCTCTATCAAAATAGTAAGAGAAAAAGAAGGACTTATCTCAGATCTTTACCTTTCACATTTGAATTTCTCCTAATTTGAATTCCTCTCCTATGTTCTAAACAATGCTTCCCTTTTTACTCGAATTTTCAGCGATTGTTTTTTCAACTATTTTAGCGATTATGATAGAGATAAAGCTCTTTAGATGATGTTTTCTATTGTATAATTATTTATTGTTCGAGTTGGAGTTAGAAATACATTAGGATTTCGTGTGCTTACTTATCTTGCTTTTGGTTTTTGTATCATGGATCTTGGGTCGCACTTTATGGCATTTCTACTATAAAAATAATCCAGACATTTGTCGTGTACCTATTATGGAAAGAATTTGGACTCTGTCTCTTTTGCTTTCCTTCTCTTTTTTCTTTGATGAATTGTTGTTAGAAACGGTAGACTGCGAAGGAAAGGATTCGGGTGGGGGAGCGTCTACCTCCTCTCCCAAGCCTGATGAATGGCAAATGGCGCTAGATCTACAAGATAATCAAGTTGTACCATAATGTCTACACTTCCATATTCAAGAAGAGTTAAGATACCTCTTTAATATCGGGCAAAATACGACCCTTTCCGATGCTATGTTTGACAACTTAATTTCCTCCTTGGCCTTAGATGAGGCAAAAGTGGGTTTTGCTAAAGCCCTCCTTCAAATAATAAATGAGCTTCAATTATTTCATTACAATAAAGGGGATCACATTCCCTTTAAATTCTCCTCGAGAGAGGAGAAAGAATGTAACACCCTAGAAAATTTTAAAGTACTTAAGTGTAAGGCCTGGTAAAATTTGCAAAGAAAATAATGTTTCATGGTGTCGGACTATGCTTACGTGTTTGAGGATGCACAGGAAAGTAAAGGAAAAATTTTGGGTTGAACAATGCACAGGAAAGTAAAGGAAAGTTTTTGCCGGAAAAGTGCGTTTATGCGGTCCATTATCCGACTACATAATCACTCT